ACAAATTTGAATGTATTTGGAAATTTAGGTTTCTATTTAAAGAAAAATAAATGACCGATCAATACCTTATTTTCTGACTTTATTTCGTCTCAAAATTCTCTATTTTTCTGAGTTCTGCAATTAATTCTACTAAAGTGTGTGTACATAAGAAAGGTAAATCCTTTAAGTAAAATTATTTTGATTTCATAAAGTTTTTTTACTAATAATTTCCGCTTTGTAAACTAGCATTTCAATGTGAAACCACCTGATATTTACGATTTTACTATTAATATATAATTTTACATTTATTTATACATTTGTTTAATATAAAATATACCTTCCTGTATACTAATTCCATTCTGTTTTGTAGATTTACTATTCTACTGAGATGTGCTGTTTTCGAATGATCTTTCGCGAAAGGAATAACTTGTTAAGCTTATTAACACTGAGACCAACTTAAACTTACCGTACTGGGTTTAGCCTAAGGCGAGCTTAGCTGGAACTAACTTCACTGACTTAAGAACTAGTACTCCGAGATGCTAGGAATAGGGAAGTCCATCCTATCACATCATCTAAAATATCTGACTTGAACGAATTGAATGTTTCATTATTTTTAGAATTATAAAAGTTATATAGTTTTGAGAATAGTAATTTTGTCTATCTGGTTTTCACCCACAATTGGTCTCTCTCTCCTCTCTTTCTCTCTTTCCTTAGGTTTATCGTTTATTGAAGAGTTTTGTGATAAATGTTCAGTTCTGACGAACTTCGACACCAAAGAAGAAAATGAAATGGGGTCCCTGTCAGAATAACTTTATAAGTCTTTTAAAATGCGACGCCCTTTTAGCCAATACTCTGTCAATTTAAAGCATTTTTCTATCTCATTGTTAAAATAATCATTTTGTATGGTTTAAGTTGTTATTATTCGATTTTTCATACTTTTTCTAACTGTAAATAATGGTTGATGACAACTTAAAGATAGAGCATTGTTCGTGCGAGCATAAATCTAGAACGTGGTGGAAGTACAATAAGCTGTTGAAAGTGATATAGTGCTCTTGGATATCGTGAGAAGGGAGAGTATCTTCCGTAATTATCTGGGCAAAAACCAAAGCCTTTCGGTCATTTTGCTTTGTGACAACAATATTTATAGTTATATCGATACAGTTTATATTCAACGGATGCAATTTCAGATCTTTCAAATTTTCCACTTATCTAGAGTGTGAATAAAAATGTAGGAAAATTATGTTTTGTAAAGAAACATAGTAAACCATACATACAATATTTTATCCAACACTTCGTAATTGTTGCTGAGGGTTGGCAAGATCGATATTATTAAGGGAAATTCCACATATGTACACTTTTCTCTACGCCAAAAATAAAAATATTTAAAAAACCGACTGGTAATATGACTATACATTGGTATAAAAACATGAAACAACAGACAGGGAAATACATTTTCTATCAGCATATCCAGACAAACAACTCCAAAAATATATTATAAAACTATGTGAATAAAGTGTTATTTTAGTGATAAAAAATTTCAAAAAAATAAACTTGGGGACCGCGGTAGCCGAGTGGTTAGCATGAGAGACTCTCACGCCGCGGTCGTGGGTTCGATTCCCACCGTTGCCCCTGGCCCTTTTTTCCCAATAACCCCCCAAATTTGAACACACATATACGAATTTGTCACATGGCTAATATGCATAGTTCATAACGCCAAAAAAAAAAAAAAAAAAAAAATAATAAATAAAAAAAATAAACTTAAAATATGAAAAATAAATATAAAAATAATGTTAATCTAAAACAACTACCTAGGCAGAACAATATATAACAGATACAATCATAACAAAAAAAGTAAATGTATCAAAAAAAAAATCATCAGAAATAAGTGAATGCAAGGAAGGCAACAATTAGATATATGAACTTTATGTGCAAGCCATGACCAAAATAATAACAAAATATTTCAAATCTGACAGAATTGGAAGTAACATCAAATTATATTTAAATTAATTAAGGTTTTTAGTTGAGATAAAAAGTCAGTGTCACGAGCGGTATTAGAACCAACGATCTTCGGCTAGATACGCCGCTGCTCTACCACTTGAGCTATCGTGACCTCGATCCACTCGGACACTAACTTCACATCTCAACCCCACCTTTTGAATTTTCTCATCTTTTTGCAATTTTTCAAATGTCGTGTAATCTATTTTATTTTCGTCGACAAAAGAAATGACCACGGTGAGCTTTAGTGAAGGTATACATCATTTTAGCTTATTAAATTCATTAGTTTTCGTGGCCCCCTTGACCAATTAAATTGATATATATGAATTGGTCAAGCGGACCACGAAAACTAGTGGAATTAAATTGTATAATCATATAAAAAATAAAATGAGTAAAATGAGTATGACAATTCCAAAAGTAAAAACGAAAAAGAACATCTAAAAAAAGATAAAAATGATAAATTTGGAAAAAGCAAGGTAATATATAAAATGTAATATGAAAGTGGATAACATTATTCCATAAAAAAAAATTCTATACAAGCAGTAAAAACGTTAACAGAAACAAAAAATTTTAAAACAATATTAGCATATTAACAAATTTACATAAATTTGTATTTCATCTCAAACGTAGATACAGCAAAGATTAATATTACCATCATATTTTATTTATGCATAGGAATAACATAAGTGTATGATTAGTTTTTTCGTTATGTATTTCTTTTTTTCATTGTGTGTAATATTACTGTAGTTGCACACAGAATAGTAAATAATTGTATTTATGTGTGTATTTCATTGTTGTTCAATTGTACAAATAAATATAATTTTTCATTGGGTATTGTAACGATACACCGTTGGCATCGATATCGGTAATCCTTATCTAAGTTCGAAGTCCAGTTTTGGAAGTCATCTGAAGGTAATTTTAATTATAGAAAAGACCTCCAGGCGATAGGAAAAGCTGTCAATATCTATGTACACAGCTATGCCGATTAACTGTCATGTCCGAGGCAGAATAGTTTCGATTGTAAAAGGTAGAAATAAGATTATAGAACTGCATATATGAGAAAATTAGAGACAAATTATTAAATTTATTATTTGTCTTATGATTTGGTATTTTATGAAAAACAGCCAAAGAAGACACTTGGTGACATAAACAAAATGTTCGACAGCTAAAAAATAATGCCATGTGAGATGTGTTTACAAAAATTAAACAACTCGTTAAAACATTCCATACAATTTTATTTACATGTAATTCACTAATTTCGTGGTCCGCTTGATCAATTAATATATTACAATTAATTAAGGTTTTTCGTTGAGATAAAAATTGCAAAAAGGAGGGAAAATTCAAAAGGTAGGGTTGAGATGGGAAGTTAGTGTCCGAGTGGATCGAGGTCACGATAGCTCAAGTGGTAGAGCAGCGGCGTATCTAGCCGAAAATCGTAGGTTCGAATCCCGCTCGTGCCATTGACTTTTTTATCTCAACAAAAACCTTAATTAATTGTAATTTACTTGCATGTTTGAGCATGTGTGACAATTATTGAATAAAAAAGATTATTGAATATTGTCTAATTTTCACCTTTTTTCTCATAAACTATACATTTACAGGTCTTAATTGCTATAAAAATTTATTATCAATATCCGTTAATAACATTCGTAGAAACGTGCAATTTTATTATTATTAAAACGTGATTTTTCAGTATAGAGAAATAATTTAATTGCTGTGCCTTTCAATACAATCGGTTCGATAGTTTCCACATTAAACAACTCATTATTATTGCCAGCTTACTCATTTTCCTCCTGTTTCAGGCAATAAAGTACGGTAGTATTTCCCATTTCTAGGGTTTATTGTTCCCTCTCGGTTTATGGACTGATTTTTGTACACTCTTCTGTATCTCTAAAAAAATTGAACTTGGGGTGAATGAAAAAGTCCAAAAACCTTAGCCCAAAAAAGAACGAAAATCGAGTATTAACGTTAATAGGATGTCTTTCAATTAATTAAGGTTTTTAGTTGATATAAAAAAGTCAGTGTCACGAGCGGGATTCGAACCCACGATCTTCGGCTAGATACGCCGCTGCTCTACCACTTGAGCTATCGTGAATTCGATCCACTCGGACACTAACTTCCCATCTCAACCCCACCTTTTGAATTTTCCCTCCTTTTTGCGATTTTTCAATTGTCTTTTTTATCTCAACTAAAAACCTTAATTAATTGAAAGATATTAATTGGTCAAGCGGATCACGAAAACTTGTGAATTTAATAAGTTAAAATGAACTATACCTTCACTAAAACTTTCCGTGGCCATTTCATTTGTCGCCGAGAATCAAATAGATTACACGACATTTGGAAAATGGCAAAAAGGAGGGAAAATTCAAAAGGTGGGGTTGAGATGGAAAGTTATTGTCCGAGTGGATCGAGGTCACGATAGCTCAAGTGCTAGAACAGCGGCATATCTAGCCGAAGATCGGGGGTTCGAATCCCGTTCGTGACACTGACATTTTTATCTCAACTAAAAATCTTAATTAATTGAAAGATATTAATTGGTCAAGCGGATCACGAACACTAGTGAAGTTAATAGGATGTTAGAATATGTACAAAGCAGAGAGAATAAAAATTATTTTGATCTACCTAAATACTGGAGAGTTCTAAAAATTCATGAATTAAATAATTCTTAGAAAAAAATATTTTTATTTTTTTAAGTCCCTCAAAAATATAAAAATAATTCAGGCAAATAAATATTTTGAATAGTAAAATAATAAAAAGTACCTATATGAAAATAACCAAATTCTCTCTAAGATCCCTTTATTCCAAGCCTTAAAATCTATATTAAATATTTTTCAAAAAACACTTGCAGCAATAGGATTTTTCTTGAAAAACACGATTAGATGCAGACAAACCGGATTAATTATTTAAGCAAAAACAATTAAACCTTTTGGTCGTGTTTTATCCTCGCTATCGTTGAATGCAGAACTTGATCACGTTCATACTACCGCGGAGGTATTTTCAAGCGGTTCCATGAAATAATAGGTGAATAAAATAATAAATCTGTAGCCTTTATTTACATATATACAAAATATTGAGTATACAAATAGAACATAAGGTTGAATTCTTCTTATATACACATCACTAGGACAAAAGACCTAGACAAATAAAAAAAAAATCGATTAGATATTAAAACAATCCTTTGGAATATAAATTATACAATACCTTGTTATAATAATTAGATCACTAATGTAAAAATCAGTGCTACAAACAGTGCAATGGGCGAGAGCGAGTTGACCGTTGAATCTCCAGCCTGGTCGCTTTGCATTGCTTCTGTCCTTTCACCTATCCCGAAAAAAATGTACACATAACAAATTATAATACATATTTAAAAAAAATTAAATTATCTTTTTACATTCTTAACACATTGAACAGTTTCATAATATTTTTTGGCTTATTTAATCGGTATAGTAAAGATTTACATTAACTAGGAATGTTACGTTTCGGCGTTCCGCCGTAATAATATCCATAATTTTATGGATTATTGGAGATGGATGGATTGATTAATCTTCAATTAAATCTTATTTTATTGTAAAGAACATATTTAATAGCCTACCAGCTCCATTGGCACAAAAATAATTTTTAAAAGAAGCGAAATCTTAATATGTTTGATGTATTGATAATACAATCTAAATAAGGAAAACGTTATTAAGCTTATTATAAATTTAATATGTATATTGTTAAATAAAGTTCACACATAGTTCATGAAAGACATTCTTATATATTATTTATTTTTTTATAGTCCAGAAAATGAAATACAATTTTCAGTCGTCCATATCCTCTGGGATGTAAGTATACATGGAACTCTTATTAGTTATCCGATCAGATGGGATTTCAAAAAGCAAAATACAATAAAAATGGCTCAATGTGAACTAGTATCATAGGTGTATATAGTGTTAACATGTCAAATTAAAAAATTGAATATATTAATTTTAAACGGTAGTCAGGCTGTCTACACTTCCTGGCACTTGAAAGGCAAAACTAGAAAATTTAATAATTTTAAAACATGTACAACGGTTTTTATCAAATGGAAGGAATGCCAAGCATAAAAATGCCAAATATCAAATAGTTAACGCGAGGTGGAAAATATGTGAGGAGGTGGCAAAAAAAGTATTGTTATATTCGATCTTTGATTTGTTTGTCTTATCACTCTTATTCTTTTTGTCTTTCCTTTTTCCCGTAATAATAGGGTTCAGAAAAGTAGACTTTAATCCGTATCGAACGTCGGGTTAAGTGCTCGTAAAGTGAGAGGAGCGGAATTTATTTCACATTTCGATTAGCCGCTGCAGTGCTGTAGACTGCCAATGAAACGGTAATTTAGAAGAATCCAAAACGTCTCAAAGACAACAATTTTATACTTTAATATTATTTCAATTTTGTGTGGTGTGTAGTGACCGATAGTCGATGATTATTGGAAAATCGTGAGATGCGGTCTGGTGTGGTGTAGGTTTCAGAAAAACATTTTCTTTATCGTGCCAACGTTTCGAACTTTAGTGAGATCATCTTCAGGGCTCAATAAAGATCGAAACGTTGGCACGATAAAGAAAATGTTTTTCTGAAACCTACATCATACCAGACCGCATCTCACGATTTCCGAATAATTATTTCAATTATTCAACGGATATTTTTAGGATTCCTTCTTTAATCATAATTCCTATAGGTAAACAAATTTGACCAAAATAATTACGTTTGTCAGGGCTCAGTTTAACGTAGAATGAGGACCCTAGATGCAATGTACTTAGCACTTTAAGAGCTATTGTATCCATTCAGGGTCCTAACATAGCTTTTGGAAGTTAAATTAATTTAAAATAAGTCAGTTCACAAACTAGTTTGCTATAAATGTAATTTTTCGAACGACTTGATATTGAGGTACATGCAACCAAGTCTAATTTTCCTACACTTATATTTACTTGATTCTAAATGAACTGGAAGTCGATATGAACTCTGAATACAAAAATAAAGATTTGTAGGTAGGCTCACGTAGTCGATCAATATTCAGAGCACTAAGCATAAACATCATCAGCTCAAATGATCTGAATTGCCTAACTACTTCGCTCTGTATTGGGTCTCAGGTCATGCAGGAGAAAATAAAGCAGTTCTTTCGACAAAAAATCCATTTTACACTCATATGACAGGAAATTAATTTTTTTTATAAGGAAAGGAGAAACAAGCAACTTCATATATAAGAAATAAAGAACAATGGGAATCTCTCATTGAAAATTAGATATCCATATTTTTACAGGTCAGAAAAGAATGTCAAGAAGACTCAGGAAATGACTATCAATTTGAACATTATTTTTATCCAGGCATCTAGTAATTATTCGCATTAACCAACACGAAATAATGAGCAAAAACGCAGAGTAAATTCCATCATATTTGCTGCTAGATTTAGTGCTGAATTTCCATCAGAAGAAATTATTTTCCAACATACATCCCAAACGTGAACAAAATATAGCCGTAGAAGCCGGGTCAAGTAATCTAATACTTGGACAGGTGTACTACAAGTCAACAGGGATTACAGTAGCTCCTAAAGGGCGCGGTACAACATAATCCCTGAAATCTTCATCAATCAATCATCATCAATCATAACCCGTTCCTTGATCACAAACAATTGTAATTCGAAGGTTAAGGACTTTAAAATAATTAATCTCTTTGATTTGATACGTTTTTTCGTTATTCAAAATTGACGAACTAAAATACTCAGTTTTCATAAATTTGAGGCCTTTTTTATTATTTTCATGACGGTCAATTAATAAATGTATCGGTTTTGTTTTAGTCCAAAGACGCCCATTGTTTCAAAGTTCCATGTAACTTTGCACTCACGTAGCATAATACTAACCGTAGTTAAAATTTTGTTACCTTCTACGACAACGAGTTTGATGGAGTAGGCTTCAGAGTTGTAAGGTTTACAAGTGTATTTTCCGCTGTCTGACAGGTTTACTGAAGCGAGAGTCAACTGGCTGCTCAAGTCCCGGCCGTCTTTCTCTGTATCCACACTTACGCCACTTCTGGATTGCTGAAGACAAAAATATTATGTAATTTTTCAAACATGACAAATCTTTGAAAACTGCAATCGCATATTCGGGAGCCATGGGAAGAAAAATAGCGAAAGCGTTGTCATATAAGTGGTCTGAATGCGAGAAACATCCTGCAGTACTGTTTTTATTAATTAAAATATGCTCCTTGTAAACATAAAATGAAGTCGCACATTAACAAAAAATCCAACAATAGTATTGATGACTACCATTTATACGCCGACTTCGTAATACGCACATTTCTATATGTTTATAAAAATTTTCGCCCATCTGCATGATCCACAAGCCTAACAAACAAATCGACAGCGTCCTGCCCGATAAGTCTTCTACCTATCCACATGCAAGAAATCTCTATTCACAAACAACATTATTCCTGATAAATAATCAAGCTTCAACTCGTTACAACTTTTAGGATTGCCACAGCCACGTTACTAGATTGTAAGCAGCTTTGCCACTGGAATCTTTCTTTCTAGACGTCTTCTAGGCGTTCATCGTACTAGTACACATACTACATACTATATAGTAAGTATATATATATATATATATACACATACTAGTACAATAAAGTAGTACATACTATCTCATCCCAAAATCCTGCATGTATGATCATTTCTTACGTATTATGTACAAAACCTCGTTAATCCGTTATTTTCTCTATGGAGTTCCTCATGGAGTATCCTAGGTCGGTAACTTTTCAGCATGAACATGGAAGACATTCATTAACACTCGAACCTATTCAACCTTACCTTTGCTGACAATATAGAAATAATCTTACATTTAATCGCAAACCTGTCATATCAGTTTGGAACTCCAAAACTATATCTTTTTCATTTGTTTTTTAAATTTAAAAAAAAATTAAGAGGATTCGCAATAGCAACGGTCATATGAAAAAATGTATATCGTTCATATTAACTTATTCAATTCACAAGTTTTCGTGGTCCGCTTGACCAATTGCAAACTAGTGAAAGCCCAAAAATAACGAGACTCGGGTACCAACGTTAATAGGATATTTTTCAGTTAATTAAGGTTTTTAGTTAAGATAAAAAAGTCAGTGTCACGAGCGGGATTCGAACCCCGATCTTCGGCTAGATACGCCGCTGCTCTACCACTTGAGCTGTCGTGACCTCGATCTACTCGGACACTAACTTCCCATCTCAACTCCACCTTTTGAATTTTCCCTCCTTTTTGCCATTTTTCAATTGTCTTTTTTATCTCAACTAAAAACCTTAATTAATTCAAAGATATTGAAGAACCGGACCACGAAAACTAGTGAATTGAATAAGTTAAAATGAAGTACACCTTCACTAAAGCTCTCCGTGGCCATTTTATTTGTCGCCGAGAATCAAATAGATTACACCACATTTGAAAAATGGCAAAAAGGAGGGAAAATTCAAAAGGTGGGGTTGAGATGGGAAGTTAGTGTCCGAGTAGATAGAAGTCAGCCGAAGGTCGTGGGTTCGAATCCCGCTCGTGACAATGACTTTTTATCTCAACTAAAAACCTTAATTGATTAAAAGATATTATTTAGTTTTAATATTGAAGTTTAACAACTTGACTCCATCTGGTTCATTTGTTGCAGTTAAAGAGGGCTATTTGAGATTGGTCAAGGGTGGCTCATAGTCACGCTTAGCACGCCACTTATATTGTTTCTATAAAAGCTATTATCTTACTCCTCAAATTCAAGCACAGTCTTTTTATCAAGATATTATAATAAATAAAAACAAACAGTTTTAAATGACTAGAGGTTGTTCGGGGTGGGCCTTCATTTATGTTCACATAATAATAACTTCGTTCCTTTCTCTATTTCTAGCTAGTGAAAATTGTAAATCTGCTAATTGTATATTCGCTGATCCTCGGTAAATTGAATTGGCCAGAAGTAAATCTAAACAGAACTAATTTCAACTCCAGCTATCATGCGCTATCTAGATATATGTGGAATTCTTAAGCTAGTCGAGTCAGAAAACTAACCGACGCTACAAATATATCCAGATAAGATCCAAACTGTCTTACGTTTTCTGTAAAGACATGTCGTCCGAAGTTCACATTGGTGTTATTTGTTTCAAATCGTAAATTATGTAATGAAATGAAAAGTTTACCAGAATTAACAAGGATATAATTTGTGGCTTTATCCAGACCTGAATCATTTGCAGAATTAAACATAGCGGTTCCGCCGAATTTGTGAAGAAAGTTTGAGCCGAAGTCAATTTTTACGAAAGTCACGTCCTCGGCAAAGAATGTCCCGAAGAAATTTGCCCTCCCCCACGGCCATTCCTCCCAGCGCTTTTCTCAGTCTTCTAAAGCAACTGAGCATTTTGCCAATTGTAGAATACAAGTTATGTAATATGTTCGCCAAGTTTCGCCCCGGCTTCACCAACTTCCTTTTACACCGCACAGTTTCAATTTCCATTTTATAACCGCAGTCGGATTAATAAGATATTCCATTCCGTCGAAGGCCACTAACAAGTCCCTAGGGTCCGTGCTTTTTTTTCTAATTTAAAAGTTTTAGCATCGCAACGCAAACTTGATACTTTTGCCATTATTCAGCTCTCCAGCTTTTCACCTTTCATGCCAGTGCAAATTTGATGAAAAGTCCTCGATGAGGAAAAATCTTACTTTTTATAAATATTACTTCTTATTTCTTTTAAAACCCGAAAAAAGCAAATCCGATACAACAGAAATCTGTTTGAAAGCTTTTTCTTTATAAAGGCAAAAGTTTGGTATAATTGTGTTCAAAATATTCTTACTCGTCTGCCTGTTCCAACTGGTATAATACGATAGATACATTTCCCCATCTTAAAAGGTTGTTTCAATTAATTTTATATGATTACCTTGTTTATATTTGTGACAGATTTGGTTCTACGTGTTCGTCAGTCCATTTTCATTTTATCATATACAATGTTTTATTAGAGAGATTAATTGTGTAAATTGCGAATAGCCTGTGGTGTTTTATCTTTTTTCCTTGTCGATGATTATTCAGAAATCGTGAGATGCGGTCTGGTGTGATTTCAAAAATGATTTTCTTTATCGTGCAAACGTTTCCATCTTTATTGAGATCACCTTCAGGGCCTGGGATTTACAAATATTGTTTACATTTAACAAAAACCTGTACGTTGTGGAAAAAATTGAATTTATACAATGCCGAAAAATATTTTTTTAAATATTTAATCAAAGTATTTCTTCTCAGTCAAAGTGTTCGTTTTCTGCGGAATTGTGCCATTCTTGCGGGTCGTGTTTTTTAATTAGTGGGGGGTTTTCTTAGTTTGATTTTCCGTTGTTTTTATTTTATAATGTGTGGTGTTTAGTGACCGTTAGTCAATGGTTTTTCGGATATCGTGGGATGCGATTGAGTGACATAGGTTTCAGAAAAACATTTTCTTTATCAATAATTAAGGTTTTTAGTTGAGATAAAAAAGTCAATGGCACGTGCGGGATTCGAACCCACGATCTTCGGCTAGATACGTCTCTGCTCTACCACTTGAGCTATCGTGACCTCGGACTTTTTATCTCAACTAAAAACCTTAATTATTTGTAATATATTAATTGCTCAAGCGGACCACGAAATTAGTGAATTTAATGATTTAAAATGAAGTATACTTCTCTAAAGCTCTCCGAGGACATTTCATTTGTCGTCGACAATCAAATAGAGTACACGACATTTGAAAAATGGCAAAAAGGAGGGAAAATTCAAATGGTGGGGTTGAGATGGGAGGTTAGTGTCCGAGTGGATGGAGGTCACGATATCTCAAGTGGTAGACCAGCGGCGTATCTAGCCGAAGATGGTGGGTTCGAATCCCGCTCGTGCCATTGACTTTTTTATCTCAACCGAAAACCTTATTTATTTGTAATATATTAATTGGTCAAGCGGACCACGAAATTAGTGAATTTTCTTTATCGTGCTAAGTTTCGATCTTTTTAAATTCACTAGTTTTCGTGGTCAGCTTGACCAATTAATATCATTCAATTAATTAATGTTTTTAGTCGAGGCAGTCGACATCTGGCCCTACCCTGTTAGATCGAGCAATGTTATCTAGCCAGTTCTTACATGTCTACATCATCATTTTTCTCCATCTAACACAACCTAACAGAGTTAAAAGGTTAACACAAAGATCGTAAATACTTCTATTGAAATAAAACCTCCTAAACCCGACTGACAGACCAACCAGGTAGGGAGAGCAAAACGATCGGTAACTATCACATTATAAATAAACTCTTAACTAGTCTCATTAGGATTCCAAGTGAGTGTAAAGCTATCATAAAACACCAATTGAGAATTTATTAGTTTTCAAAATTAAAATTTATACAACCTAACAAATTGCCGTTACATAAAAACCAGCCATAATTTTTTATTGCTTTTATATATTGACTGAATATAATTAAAAGCAAAATTTTCTGCAAGGTACAACCTATAAAACACATCAAGATTTGAGTTGTTTTCGTCAAACGGTTATTCTATTATTTCACAAATTGGTTGAAAGATTGAAAAAAGAAGAGTTTGTGAGTAATTTTTTTAAGTTAAAATATTTATTTGATTGGTTTAACTATCCGAACTTTCTCTAAATAGGAGAAACCTATTATCAACTGTCCGTAACTTACGCTAAACTACTTAATGCTGTAATTTTAGTAAGTACTTCCTACATTAGTAATTGCTTTAGCACCTAACAACAATATAAGAAGAATATAAGAAAATAATATAAAAGTATAAGATGCTCGGAGCATCCTGTGTTTAAAATGAAATGGGTCTTATTTGGTTTATACCTTCTTAGCTCCAGCAGGTGGGTAGTAATTTCTTCCATTTATAGATGAATATGTACTGAACTATATTGTGTGTTTTTTATCAGAAAATTTAATAGAAATCTGAAATTTTGTAAATTTATCATATAAATCTTGAATTGGTAATCTTATAACCACCTATTTCTCCTTCTTCTACGAGTTTAAATCTACACCTTTTGAATTTTCCCTCCTTTTTGCCATTTTTCAAATG